CTCTCTGCTTTGACTCCACAATAGGAAAACCTCCTGTGGTCTGTCCACTGCTTGCCAAGTTATAGAGCAGGGAGCTGGTGCAGGAATGCAGGTTCTCGAGTTTTGAGTTCGCCATTGCTGGTCCTGGTTCCCCCCTTCTAAGGGGGCTGATCTTTACATTTTGCTTTGTTAAAATAAAAATCATTGCACTGAAATGACCATAGATGCTATGTCTACCGAAATGCACTTGGTGACTGGCAGCGATTGGCTGAGCTGCCCTCGTGTCACAGAAGGCAGAAGAGTCAACGACCTCTTCCTTTCCACTGCACTGTAAAGCACCGTACTGTCGTGCCTTGGAAGTCGAACGGAATCCGTTCCGGAAGTCCGTTCGACTTCCAAAATGTTCCAAAACCAAAGTGCAGCTTCTGATTGGCTGCAGGAAGCTCCCACGGCCAGTCGGAAGCCACGGAAGCCCCATCAGATGTTCGGCTTCCAAAAATCGTTTGAAAACCGGAACACTCAGTTTTGATCATTCGGGAGCTGATTTCTTTGGGAGCCAAGGCGTTCGAGATCCAAAGCATGACTGTACATCCTGGGACAGTGCTGGTTTTTATTAGTTGTAGTAGTAGTAGTAAGGTAAAAGGTAAAGGGACCCCTGACCATTAGGTCCAGTCATGGCCGACTTTGGGGTTGCGGCGCTCATCTTGCTTTATTGGCTGAGGGAGCCAGCATTTGTCCGCAGACAGCTTCCAGGTCATGTGGCCAGCAGGACTAAGCCACTTCTGGTGAACCAGAGCAGCGCACGGAAACGCCGTTTACCTTCCCGCCGGAGTGGTACCCATTTATCTACTTGCGCTGGTGTGCTTTTGAACTGCTAGGTTGGCAGGAGCAGGGACCGAGCAACGGGAGCTCACCCCGTCACGGGGATTCGAACCACCGACCTTCTGATCGGCAAGTCCTAGGCTCTGTGGTTTAGCCCACAGCATCACCCGCATCCATTAGTAGTAGTAGTAGTTAATTAACATGCTTGCCCATGCCACAAAGAAAGGATAGGGATGAACCAAAACATTGACAGCATCTCATTTTCCAGTGTCACCATCCTGTTCATCTCTCCTGCTGTTAAAATCTGGCTCGCAGGCCAGGTGTGTAAACAGAGAGTAAACAGAAAGTAGCTCTCCCACCCAACGCCTCCCAGAGCACACACATTGCCTGGCCTCTTTTGAGCCTATAGTTTGAATTACGAGAGAGGATGAGTCATGAGCAAATAGCCATCTCTATTATGCAAGTTTGGAGGAACAGATCCCTTCCGCTTAAGGTTTAAAGTTTGCATTTATTTATGAACTGTCTTTTGTCCCTTCCCCCTAAAAAGACCCAGGTGATGTACAGCAGTTTGTTTGTTTTTATTCTTTTGAAATGACACACAACATTTATTTTAAGAATTGTATTTTTCTTTTTTTAAGCATGCATACACAGATGGTACCCATAGCTAAGTATTATCTGCACTGACTGGTGAATGTTCTCAAGGAGCATCTCCCAGCCCTACCTGGATTGAATATGGCAAATCTATCCATTTTGGTTCCCCTCTGTTTCTCATCTTTCCAATCTTAACTTCAGTTCTCCCAATTTCCCACATGAGTACATGACATTTTTCTGAAAATTAATCCTCGTGAAATTTCGCCAACGTTTGCGTGTGAATTTCTCCAATATCATGCAAAGCACTTTTCCCCCCAATACAGTGGTACCTCGGGTTACATACGCTTCAGGTTACATACGCTTCAGGTTACAGACTCCGCTAACCCAGAAATAGTACCTTGGGTTAAGAAGTTTGCTTCAGGATGAGAACAGAAATCGTGCTCCGGCGGCGCGGCAGCAGCAGGAAGCCCCATTAGCTAAAGTGGTGCTTCAGGTTAAGAACAGTTTCAGGTTAAGAACAGACCTCCAAAACGAATTAAGTTCTTAACCCGAGGTACCACTGTACTTAGTTTGGCTTAGCATTATGCGACAACCAGGCCAGTCAGTATGTGGATACACAAACAGAAAATCCCGTCTAGAAGAAGTGCTTCTTTGACAGTGGAAGTTGCAAGTGTACAAAACAGACCACTTGCCTCTTACGTTTGGTGTACAGTAGTACCTCAGGTTACAGACGCTTCAGGTTACATACGCTTCAGGTTACAGACTCCGCTAACCAAGAAATAGTACCTCAGGTTAAGAACTTTGCTTCAGGATGAGAACAGAAATCGTGCTCCGGCAGTGCGGTGGCAGCGGGAGGCCCCATTAGCTAAAGTGATGCTTCAGGTTAAGAACAGCTTCAGGTTAAGAACGGACCTCCAGAACGAATTAAGTACTTAACCCGAGGTACCACTGTACAATGCATTTGAGCATGTCATTTTCACTATAATATGCACTCATATGCACACTTTACCCTAGTATGTTACATGCCAACCCAATCTCCAAGAGACTCCAGGAGGTTCCAAGCACTGACTGAGGGTTCGTTGTTCCTAGGAAGAAGAGTTTGGATTTGATATCCCGCTTTATCACTACCCGAAGGAGTCTCAAAGCGGCTAACATTCTCCTTCCCCCTCCTCCCCCACATCAAACACTCTGTGAGGTGAGTGGGGCTGAGAGACTTCAGAGAAGTGTGACTGGCCCAAGGTCACCCAGCAGCTGCATGTGGAGGAGCGGGGAAGCGAACCCGGTTCACCAGATTACGAGACTACCGCTCTTAACCACTACACCACACTGTAGGAAGGAAAGTCTGTGCCGTCTTTTGGATATATGTTTTTATTTACACCCCCAGAATCCCTAGCCGGAATTAAGACTGCCGGAAGAAATATCAACAACCTCAGATATGCAGATGACACAACCTTGGTGACAGAAAGTGAGGAGAAATTAAAGAACCTTTTAATGAGGCTGAAAGAGGAGAGCGCAAAATATGGTCTGAAGCTCAACATCAAAAAACGAAGATCATGGCCACTGGTCCCATCACCTCCTGGCAAATAGAAGGGGAAGAAATGGAGGCAATGAGAGATTTTACTTTCTTCGACTCCATGATCACTGTAGATGGTGACAGCAGTCACGAAATTAAAAGAAGCCTGCTTCTTGGGAGAAAAGCAATGACAAACCTAGACAGCATCTTAAAAAGTAGCAAAGGTCCTTGCCAGCAAAGGTCCGTATTGTAAAAGCTCTGGTTTTCCCAGTAGTGATGTAGGGAAGTGAAAGCTGGACCATAAAGAAGGCTGATCGCCGAAGAATGGATGCTTTTGAATTATGGTGCTGGAGAAGACTCTTGAGAGTCCCATGGACTGCAAGAAGATCAAACCTCTCCATTCTGAAGGAAATCAGCCCTGAGTGCTCACTGGAAGGACAGATCCTGAAGCTGAGGCTCCAATACTTGGGCCACCTCATGAGAAGAGAAGACTCCCTGGAAAAGACCCTGATGTTGGGAAAGATGGAGGGCACAAGGCGAAGGGGACGACAGAGGACGAGATGGTTGGATAGTGTTCTCGAAGCTACGAACATGAGTTTGACCAAACTGCAGGAGGCAGTGGAAAACAGGAGTGCCTGGCGTGCTCTGGTCCATGGGGTCATGAAGAGTCGGACACAACTAAACAACTAAACAACAACAACAACAACAACAACTTATTATTTATACCCCGCCCATCTGGCTGGGTTTCCCCAGCCACTCTGGGCGGCTTCCAACACAATATTAAAATACAATAGTCTATTAAACATTAAAAGCTTCCCTAAACAGGGCTGCCTTCAGATGTCTTCTAAAAGTTTGGTAGTTGTTTTTCTCTTTGACATCTGCTGGGAGGGCGTTCCACAGGGCGGGTGGAACTTCCCAACATCAGGGTCTTTTCCAGGGAGTCTTCTCTTCTCATGAGGTGGCCAAAGTATTGGAGCCTCAGCTTCAGGATCCGTCCTTCCATTGAGCACTCAGGGCTGATTTCCTTCAGAATGGAGAGGTTTGATCTTCTTGCAGTCCATGGGACTCCCAAGAGTCTCCTCCAGCACCATAATTCAAAAGCATCCATTCTTCGGCGATCAGCCTTCTTTATGGTCCAGCTCTCACTTCCATACATCACTACTGGGAAAACCATGGCTTTTACTATACGGACCTTTGTTGGCAAGGTGATGTCTCGCCAGCAGATAGAATCACAGATTTGCAGAGCTGGAAGCAACCCTGAGAACCATCTAGTTCACCCTCCCTCCAATGCAGGGATATTTTCCCCCAACATGGGGCTTGAACCCAGGACCCTGATATTCAGAGCCTCATGCTCTACTGACCGAGCCATCCCACCGATGTGAACACTGCCCATACCATGCACATGTTCCTATGGATTCTTACCTAAAACACATTTTTGCAATATGTCTTTTTTCCTGATGCAATGCAGTGTGATGTAGTGGTTAGAGGTCAGACAAGGACGTGGGAGGTTTGGGGTTCAAATCCCCCACTCACTGATTTTGGACCAGTCACTGTCTCTCAACTCTAACCTACCTCACAAGGTTGTTGTGGGGATTCACTGAGAAGTGCAGGGAAAACCACGTTTGCCACCATAGCTGTCAACTTTTCCCTTTTCTTGCGAGGAATCCTATTCGGAATAAGGGAAATTCCCTTTAAAAAAGGGAAACGTTGACAGCTATGTTTGCCGCCTTCAGCCCTTTGAAGGAAAAAGGTTGGATACAAATGCAATCAATTAAACAGTAATTTTTCGAATATCATTTTTGCAAATATCTGTGTTTTTATGCTCACATTGTGCATTTTTTTTCCGGCTGGCGAACAGCAACACAAAATTCAGAGGACGGTGCATTTGAAGGATAGCTGCATTTCAAAGTTTGTCAAAACTTTGCTGGGCAGCAAACATGCACCGCCTCACATCTGCATGCCTAACAGAGCATCCTAGGTAAAAAATGTTTGTGTGTCAGAGAGAGAGAAGGTCTGCCTAACTGTTTCGCCTAGTCGAGAGAGCAGCAATAGCCTTGGTTTCATTTGCTTGCTCTGTGGAGTGCTGAAACTTTCTGTCGAAAGCTGTTCCTGGCTGCAGACTGCTGCTCCGCTGATTCTCATGCGAGAGGATGGGTGTGACTCGCTGGGAGGCTGGTCTCCACCGCCCTGCTTAAGTACACTATTGAATTACCTTCCTCTTTGCCATGCCCCCTTCTGCCAGAGGGAGCCCAGGAGGAGAGAGAGCGTGTCAGGAGCCGGCGATCTGCTCAGTGGTGCATTTGGGGTGGCAGGGGGAAAAAGGAGGAGATAAGAAGGTAAGTGGAATCTCCAGAATTCCTTTGGCAAGGGACAGAGCTGTGTGAGGCTGTGGCCCCGTTTGGCAGCCCGTTTGCAGACAAAGCGTAGTTAAAAGTCGCCTGCTATTGCCCCCTTTGGAAGAAATGGGGCCTGTTTTAAAGTCCCTGCAAAGGACAGGATGACACAGAAACTCACAAAGTGACTTTAGAAGCAAACCGGTTTATTTGGATCGAATCCAATCCAAGGGAGAAAGGGCTACTTCTTCCCAAGTGTTTGATTTGAAGGCAGCATTTAGATCTGTGTTTTCCTGCTGCATTTATAGGGGTTGCCATGTTTCCTCGCCTTAGGGCACCTATGCTTCTAAGAGTAGCGTGCTGTCAGGCCGAAATATGAGAGGTGCAGACTGGGACCTTTCCCAGCGTGGCGGGGTGTGTTTGTAGATTTCTTCTTCCCGTGGTGTCGCTAATAAAGGGGGAAAGGGGTCAGCTGAATCTTCTTCAGCAAGATTTGCAGAAATTACTGTTTTTAATTGCACCATTGGAAATTGCGTTCTACGCCTTTTGCTGGACGGTAGAGGAAAACCTTTCCAAACCGAATACATACATAACATATTTCCGAGACAATAGCTGGCTTTTTCTTCCAGTGCAGTCTAATTGCTTTGACTTTCACACAACAAGTAATTATCTCTGTTTTGTTCAGCGTCGGTGACTCATCTGACTTGCGGCAGGAGCTGGGTTTAATTTAAAAGTTGTTCTGTACACTTCTTGTTTCAGAAGGCAGGAAGGGGGAAGAAGAGATTGTCTAGATTTTCTCAGTTGATAAAGGAGTCCTGTAGCCCAAGCAACAGATCAGCTAAATATCACAGCTTGCCTTGTGTCCAGTTTTTTTTAAAAAAATAAATGAAATAATTTGGCTGCATTCACAAATACAAGGACCTCTGTCGCCTGGTTTTTCTACAATGGTTCCTCTTCCCTCATGCGCCCTATTAATTTGAGATGCAAAGCAGCCTCAAGAAGACCTGGACTCTTTATGTGACGGTTTACTTCAGAGTAACACTGGATAGTATCTTAGAAGGGGCACTGGGCTATTTTTTTAAGGCAGTGCTAGCCAAGAGCGCAAACTGTTTAATGTAGAAAAGAGGAAGTCAAGTGTATTTATTTCGGAACGTGAGAAACTTTGCTAAAGATAATATTGACAAAAGGTGCAATCGAACTTATTTTTCCACATAGTAACAAAGGCAGAATTGGGCAGGGAATCAGTTGCAGACTGCTGGGGGGCAGGCAATATTTGTTAAGCTGTTGCCCTTCCAGTGCCACTGAATTCCTGGCCAAAATGGCGGCCATACATCCATATGCAGTGTTAGGCCTGAGGGCCACACTCATTCTTAGCCAAGCTTCCAGGGGCCTCATCCCTGCCACACCCAGGTAAGCGGCAGGGATGCTGGTGTCAGGTTGGCAGCTGCACAGCATTGCCTCACCATATCAGCCACTCCTGCAAAACTCTGATGGGGAAACCAATCCATTGCATTCTCTCTCTCTCTCTCTCTCTCATTTTGCCTGCCTCCTCCCTAGACCAGCTTCATAATATTTCTGGAAGCATTTAAAGTGTTTAAGGGGTTTGTTTTTTTAAAATGAATTTTGTTAGAATTTGGGCCAGTGCCAAGGGGTACAATGGCTCTGATAAGAGTGTCGGTGAATGTTGCAGAACCAAAAAGCACTTCCTACTACAGCCAAGTAGGAATTTCATAGAATTGTAGAGTTGGAGGGGACCACAAGGGTCATCTAGTCCAACCCCCTGCAACACAGGAATTTCAGCTAAAGCATTCCTGACAGATGGCCATCTAACCTCTGCTTTTAAAAAAAACAAAAACCAGGAAGGAACCTGTTGAGGGAGTCCGTTCCACTGTTGAACAGCTCTTACTGTCAGAAATTTCTTTCTGATGTTTAGCTGTAATCTCCTTTCTTGTTACTTAAGGCCATTGGTTTGGGTCCTACCTTCTGGAGCAGGAGAAGGCATTAATGATGATGATGATGATGATGATGATGATGATGATGAATAATAATTTATTATTTATTATTTATACCCCGCCCATCTGGCTGGGTCTCCCCAGCCCCCTAGCAGCTTCCAACAAAATATTAAAATACAGTGGTCGGTTAAACATTAAAAGCTTCCCTAAAGAGGGCTGCCTTCAGATGTCTTCTAAAAGTCTGGTAGTTGTTCTTCTCTTTGACATCTGGTGGAAGGGTGTTCCACAGGGCGGGTGCCACTACCAAGAAGGCCCTCTGCCTGGTTCCCTGTAACTTGGCTTCTTGCAGTGACTGAACCACCAGAAGGCCCTCGGAGCTGGACCTCAGTGTCCGGGCTGAACGATGGGGGTGGAGACGCTCCTTCAGGTATACAGGACCGAGGCCGTTTAGGGCTTTAAAGGTCAGCGCCAGCACTTTGAATTGTGCTCGGAAACGTACTGGGAGCCAATGGGAGAAGACATTTCTCTCAGAGAATGCCTGAATATTCAGACTTTCCCCTGAATATTCTCCATTTCTCTACACCCCTTCACAACATCCTGGAACATTGTGGAGGATTCGAAATGGGGGCAACACAAGTTGTTGCTGTGTGTGTGTGTGTGTGTGAGAGAGAGAGAGAGAGAGAGAGAGAGAGAGAGACTGTGGATGTTCTTGCCACTATTGATGTGGAGCCCCGTTTCTGAGAATTTCCCCTCTTCTGGAGAAATTTGGGTGAAATTGTCCTTGCCGCCAGCATCCCTTGTAGTTCCTCTGCCCTCAAGTTGGAGGGTGAGATTTCAAGAAGCCATTGGCACAGAGCTCCCTCTTCCAGCACACAGCCTGCAACACCAGCTCTTTCCTTTTCAATAGCAAAATCAGGCTGATTTTTGCTCCGATAAGCCCCAGGGGAGAGAAGTAATTCGCAGGGCCTGTTCTATCCCGTTCCTGCTGGTTCTAGGCAAAGCGAGGTGGACTCCCCTGCCCGCCACAGCTCAAACAAGCGAGCCCTTCTCCTCCCTCCCTTTCTCTGCCTGCCTCCCTCCCTCCCTCTCATGACATTCCTCCCCAAGGACTTGGTGGCAACGGTTGCTAAAGCCTTCCCAGGCAGCTGTGTGTAGAAGTCTGCAGGTTTCAGAGCGGAGGTGATCCTGTTGCTTCCAGGTTGATTCCCCAAGGAGAAGGAGGCCGGGAGGCATTGCCATGGAAGACAACAGCAGTTTCCAACAGTTGGGAAAACTCTGGCAGCAAGTGATGAGAAAGGCAATCTGATGTTGCAGAAATTCAACACATTTAAGCATAGGAGCCCCTAAAAAAGAATCTAGCAGCCCTACAAGGACACCTTGTTGTTGTTGTTGTTTAGTCATTTAGTTGTGTCCGACTCAGCCCTGAGTGCGCACTGGAAGAACTGATCGTGAAGCTGAGGCTCCAATACTTTGGCCACCTCATGAGAAGAGAAGACTCCCTGGGAAAGACCCTGATGTTGGGAAAGATGGAGGGCACAAGGAGAAGGGGACGACAGAGGACGAGATGATGGGACAGTGTTCTCGAAGCTACCAGCATGAGTCTGACCAAACTGCGGGAGGCAGTGGAAGACAGGAGTGCCTGGCGTGCTCTGGTCCAGGGGGTCACGAAGAGTCGGACACGACTAAACGACTAAACAACAACAACAACAAGATGTTCTACTGCAGTACCTTTTGCGCTACACTGATGTTGTTTTCCATCTTCAAAAGCTGGGGTGGGGTGGGGAAGCCAGGCACCTGCCTCACCTTAACATCGATACCAGGAAAGGTCCTAGAATAGATAATTGAACTGAAGACTCATAGAAAAGAATGTTGCAATGACTAAGAGCCAGCAAGGGCTTCTCAAAAGCAAGTCATGCAAGACAAAGCTTATTTCTTATTTTGAGAGCGTTACAAGCTCGGTGGATCCGAGGAATGCTGTGGATGTAGTATGTCTTGATTTCAGTAAGGCTTTTGACAAAGTCATCTGTGATCTTCTTGCAGAGAAGCCTGATATAATGTGGGCTAGACTATGTTCCTGTTAGGTGACTGACCAAACCCAAAGATGCTCATTAATGGCTTCTTGTCACCCTGGGAAAAGTGACAAGTGGGGTGCCACATGTTCTGTCCTGGGGCCAGTGTTGTTCAAAATCTTTATAAATGAATTTGATGAAGGAATAGAGGAACTGCTCATAAATTTTGCAGATGACGCTAAACTGGGAGAGGTAACTAATATTACAGAATACAGAAAGCAGTATTCAGTATGTTCTTAACTGATTGGAGAACTGGGCCCAAACTAGTAAAATGAATTTCAGTTGGGACAGGTGTAAGGTTCGACAGTTAGGCAGGAATAATCAGATGCACAAATATAGGATGGCAGTAGTATTGCTCTATTCTACCTTGGTCAGGCCACACCTGGAATACTGTGTCCAATTCTAGGCACCAAAATTTAAGAAGGATGTTGACAAGCTGGAACATGTGCAGAGGAGGGCAACCAAGATAATCAAGGGTCTGGAAACCAAGCCTGATGAGGAACGGTTGAGGGAATTGGCCTGGAAAAGAGGGGAGTGAGAGGAGATAGGATGGCCATCTTCACATATCTACAGAGCTGTCACATGGACGATGGGGCAAGCATGTTTTCTCCTGCTCTGGAGGGTAGGACCCAAACCAATGGTTTCAAGCTACAAGAAAGGAGATTCCGACTAAATATCAGGAAGAACTTTCTGACAGTAAGAGCTGTTCAGTAGTGGAACGGTCTCCCTCAGGAGGTTGTGGACTCTCCTTCCTTGGAGGTTTGGAAGCAGAGTTTGGATGGCCACCTGTCATGGATTCTTCCGCTGAGATTCCTGCATTCCAACTCTCCAGTTTTATGATTCTTTGGTATTGCATGTTTTCATTTTAAGTACCGGGGAAACACAGGGAGCCATATAGGTCAGTCGCACCCACGTAGCATGGAATATGTTCACAGGAGAAAGTAATTCCGAGTTGCACCCTATAACTGGTTACATATTAATG